TCATGCCAACTTAAACAATTAATAAATCCCATACATTTAATAGATGAGGGCTGCAATTCTATAGCCAGCTACCTGGGAGTAAGGTCCGTTGAGTTCAGTGGGACTTACTTATTAATAGACTTGTATAGGGCTGTGCTATAATATTTATTTAAAAGTCTTAAGTCATGCCCAACCATTCCCTTTACTGGGGCCCATGAGGCAGAGTGACGGAGCCTGCCTCAGGTGGCAGAATCTTGCAGGAAGTGCCTCTGCAGGCATGCTGCCCACCCCTGCTGCCACCAGGTTTGTGCAGTGGCAATGGCTTCCAGTGAGAGCTCATGAGACTTCCACAAGTTATTTCAAGAGATTCGTGAGATCTTGCCATATGCTGCAGCCATGAGACTGTGGTAAGACACTGAAACAGAACAGGCCGCCCTTGCCCTCCACCTTGCAGAACAGAGCTTTGCAATCATGTAATTTTGCTCACCGGTATGTCTGGAGGAAATGGAACTGTACCCTTTTAACTTATCACATACATACATTCTGTACATGTAAAACACACACATACCTGCTTCCAACTCTTGTATTGTTTCAGAGGAGAAAGAGAAGTAATACAGAAGTAATAGAGATGTTCCAGATCACATTGTGAACCATCAGTCTACTCACAACAACAACTAATAATAATAATAATAATACATGAAATTTGCTGTACTTAAGTAGCCCAACAATAGATGGAACTTGAAGGTCACAGGGCACGCCCTGCACAGGGCAGGACTCTTACTTTCGCAGCATTCTTCACAGGTAGCTAACCTCTGCTTAACCTCTGCTTAAATACCAGAACAGGTCCAATACATTTTTCTGCCTGAGGTGGAGGACAAGATGGCAGCCCCTTCCTATTTCATGCACAGAAGCCAACCAGACTAGCAACTGAATCTAACTTCAGCACTAGTAACAGAGGACAGTGATGAGCATCACCCATTGCATCTGAGGCAGCAGATTAGTTTACACAGAGGCAGGTGACTGGCGGTGTGAGGTTTATGGGGAACAGCCAGGATGCTGCCACTGCCGCCCTCCAGCATCTGCCGCCTGATGCAGTTGCCTCACTTTGTCTAATGGCAGGGCTGGGTGCATTACATACCTTCAGAAAAGAAGAAGCCACCACCTCCTGAGGCAGTCTGTTTTATTGCCAAATAGCCCTTAACTCAGCATGTAGCTGAATTCTGCTTCCTTGCAATTTCCAAACATTGTCCTCTGGAGCAACATGAGTAATTTCAGGGAAATTGCAATAAATGCATTCATGTGGGTGATTGTCTGTGTTGTGTTGAGGGGTTCAGTCCATGACACACACATACACTTCTAACAGCTTCCACCTACAGGAGTCATATTCAACTTAATGATCTGTACTGATGCACAGAGTGTCTCTTTCAACCATATACAAGACCTCCAAAGCAACAGGCACCACCAGACACACACACAAAAGCTTACCCATGAGCTCATTCTCTTCCAAAAAAAGTGACTGTTAATTTTACCACCAATATATCAGCCAACTTCAAACCCTGTTTGTTTACTACCAATTTTTCATTAGAGGCCCCAAATTGCAATCAGGATACAAAAGGGTACACACTTTTTGACTCTGGCTCAGAAAGAAACAACTCTTGAGTCAAAGCAAATGTGGAAATGCAACAATCTGCAGAAAAGTTTATAGTAATTCCAATTGCAGGCATTTCAAACTTGGCTAATGCTTTTTCCACAAGAATGTGCCTGCAACATCATTATTTTATAAAGGAATGTTAATGAAGCAGCAAGCGGGACCTGAAATGCTATCTCTGTTCTATGTATCCAGCAGGAGTCCATCCCTCACCAAACAGACAACATCAAGCATGCTGCCACACAATGAATACTTAGCCAAGCTTAGATAAGCAAACAGAAGACATTTTATATATTTTTTAAAAAAACAACAACAGACATTCCATCAAAGAAGGCCAAGAAATTTTGAGAGCCTTCCCCCCCCCAAAAAAAATAGTACAGTACTAACATCAACAGTTAAGCAGATACTTGCATCAAGATTCTCCACCTCATCCAGTTGCACATGATTAAAAAAAAATCTTGCTCTTTGTTTTTGTTGCTTTTTAAAAACTTAACTTTTATTTCCTACCTGTCGATGATCACGGGGTCTGAAGGAGTCTCATTGCGGTTTCCACAGCTTTTCTTTTCACAACAACGGCTGGAGATCGAAGGAAACAAACAAAAAAGGATCATAATTCACTAAGTATAGCAAGGTGGGCACCAGAGGCAGGTATCATTGGGCCCCACCTTCTGTTGGGGGCCCCACTGCCATGCTCCTGACTCCCCTTGGTCCTCCTTCTCCTTCTCCTTGTCTTCATCATACACTGCCCTGCCTTCTCCAAACATCTGAGCCCAGAGTGGGAAACCTTTCACAGCATGATGGTTACATTCCTTTTGGGACAACGTTCTGGGAGTCACATGCCAATGGCAGACAGGGCCAAAAGCAAATGTGGGTGGAATAACGAATGTCAAATTTACCTCTGCACAGTAGTCTAGTTTCTACATTCCCTCACATGTCTTGCTTTGTGCTCCTTCCAGGCAAGCAAGAGGCATTATCAGAGTTCAAAGACACATTCCAGTCAAGCAGAAACAACCACTGCTTCTAGGTCATTGTGGGAAATGGCTGCCCACCGTCTCCAGTCCACACCAGAGCCCCTCTCAAACCCGGGGCCAGCCTTGCAATTGCACCTTCCCAACTTTTTAATAATGTCATGATAAATACACAACAGCCCAGGCCTTCAAGTAATTTTTAATGCCACTGAGTGGCTGGCTCATTTCCCACTGGTAAAATATTATAACTTTATATGTCTGCTGAATGGGCAATAAAATTTTGATCCACTTTCAAGGATATAAATAGTTAGGTTGCATGTATATTTTTAGAGTCTCAGATGAAATCGAGCACAATGTAACTAAATCACAGCCACAAAGTCGCGTGCAAGATGTACCCCACAGGGCAGCTTGCACAAGTGTAGCCCAGCAAGCTGGACACAACTGCGAAGCATGAATGGTGGCCAAACTGAAGCTTGAAGATCCTTTTTGTTTTCTGCCTGAAACTGCAAAAAACAGGATGAGAATATCAAGAACCTGACACAGGAGCTTCTATGCAAGAGAACAATGTAAGAAGATTTGAGTGTTTTTGACTGGCTGGAATATATCATTGAATTCTGACAAAGCCTCTTGCTCATCTGGACTTAGGATAGAGAAGAGAATGTGTGTGAACAAACCTACTGTAAAAAGGTAAAATTTATTTAGTTATTGCTATCTCCTACCTTTCCTCCAAGGAGCTCAAGGTGGAGTGATATAGTTCTCTCCTCCCCATTTTATCCTCACAACAACTTTGTGACATGGGTTAAGCTAAGAGTGAGTGACTGGCCTAAGTGGGGATTTGAACCCTGGTCTCCCAAATCCTAGTCTAATGCTCTAACCACTACACCACACTGGCTCTCATGAATTTAATTGCCCCAGCCACTGCTACCTTTGGCCCTGCTCATCCCTGGCCCCTCAAAGCTTGCCCAGAACAGAATGCAGCCCTCAAGCTGTAGGCAGTGCTGAAATACTGAATGATCTCAAGTGATATGACAGCTTTCTGTGTTCCTTTGATAGCATAAGACGTACCTTTAATATTTTAGGGTCTGCAATCAATAGGAGCAGTCGGGGCTAGAAGCGGGTGAAGGTGTATGTAAGTTCCTGGTCTATGATCCGCTGCCCCTTGTGGTAAACCACATGATCAAGCAAAGCACGCTAAGAGAATCCAGATGCAAAGTGAAAGCCATCTGTCTCATCTGCTTGCAATGGGAACTTTTGGAAGAAAGAAAGCTTGCTGGCATCAGTGCACCGTACTCAGAAGGAATATTCTGAAAAGCAAAAATGCCTCTCATTCCAGTAAGTCTGAGAAAGGGTTACTGCAAGCTGAAACTCAGTGCTGGGGAAGTTTTACCAACTCTTTTCTTGAACAAGCAAAACAATTGGGGGTAGAGCAGGGCAGTAGGAGAGCCCTGCCACTGCTTCTCCACTCTAAATGGCTTCCCCACCGCACACTGTAGGTTTCCATATGCATAGTGGTAAAGCAGTGGAGGCTAGTCCACTGGGGCAAGTGGGGCACTGCCTTCCCAACTCAGGGTGTCCTCAGCCAGGCCCCACCTGCCCACCTCATTCTTCACAATGAGTTTAGTGAGTAGCAATGTCCATCAGTTTCCTCTTTCTCATGAATCTTGACATTGCTTGACAATGCAGTAGGGAAGAGGGTGGGGACAAAACCAGAATTTGTTGGCTCCACCTATCATTGGCTTGATATTCACGAACCCTTTGCTCTGACCCCCTACTGTTGGCCTCCTTGCTTTCTGCCCCACCTATTCCAATGAGCTGCCACTGTGTATATGACAAGAAAGAACTGTAATGGGCTCAAAATGCAGGGGTGGAATGAGAAGTGAAACCTTGCCGCAGCATGGAATGCTGACCTACGTTTGTTGGGGTGGGGTGGACAGAAGTAGGAAGTTAGGAGGAAGAGGAATGGAATTGTAAAAGGTAAAGGTAAAGGGACCCCTGACCATTAGGTCCAGTCATGACCGACTCTGGGGTTGCGGCGCTCATCTCGCTTTATTGGCCGAGGGAGCCAGCATACAGCTTCCGGGTCATGTGGCCAGCACGACTAAGCTGCTTCTGGCGAGCCAGAGCAGCGCACGGAAACGCCATTTACCTTCCCGCCAGAGCGGGACCTATTTATCTACTTGCACTTTGACATGCTTTCGAACTGCTAGGTTGGCAGGAGCAGGGACCAAGCAACGGGAGCTCACCCCATCATGGGGATTCGAACCTCTGACCTTCTGATCGGCAAGTCCTAGGCTCTGTGGTTTAACCCACAGCATCACCCACGTCCCTAATGGAATTGCAGAATCGTAGAATTGGAAGGGACCACAAGCACCATTTGGTTCAACCCCCTGCAATGCAAGAATCGTTTGCCCAAGTTGGGGCTTGAACCCACGACCCTGAGATTTCTGTAGGAGTCTTATGCTCAACCAACTGAGCTATCCACACATGAATGACAACAAGCAGGTGTGGGGAACTTTGGCCCTCCAGATGTTTCTGAACTGCAACTCTCATCATCTATAGCTTGCTGGGGCTCATGGGAGTTATATTTGAAGGGTCAAAGGTTCTGTCACGGCTAAAATGGCCGCTGTTTCTTTAATGCGAATAAAGCTGGGTCAGCATGACTCAGCAGTCTGCACCAAGTTGTATATATAAGTGAGAAATGTTAGTTTGTTGCTGAGGCTGGTGTTTGGGTTGGTTGGTTAGTGCTGGTGTGTATAGTTATTCAGTCATTTTTTGCACAAAGACTTTTAAGAATAAAACTCTGCAAGGATATTCTCGTGGACTCTTTTTGTGCCGACAAGGGTCCGAGGACCAGGCTGAGGAGACAAAGGGAGGTCAGAACCTTTTCCTCCTTTTTTTGCTTTTTACAAACACTGACAGGTTATGGGCCCAGTGTTTCTGAGCATGTGCAGAGTGCAAAACGACTGACAGCATCTGAGCAGGGAGCTGGTGAGTCCTGGTGGTGTATGAAGCCAGTGGCTGTGCGTTGGAGCAGTTGGTGACAAGCTGTAACTGTCTGCAACGACGCTGGAGCGGCTAGGATCTGAGGATCAGGAAAGCACTCAGCGTCGGCTACTGGAACAGTTTGAACTGCTGGAGGACCACAGTAGGCGACTCACAGAGCGGCTACCCCAGTTGCAGAGCCAGGCGGGACCTGAGGGTCAACAGAGGCAGCAGCTAGAAGCCGGTGAGTGCCAGCCAGGACCATCCAGTTGGACGCTAAAGAGAGAGTCAGGAGAGATTGCTGGAGGCCCCACAGAAGGGGCTCAGCAAGCACCAGCAGAGATGGCAGATTTCCAGTCTTCCCAAGTTGTAAATATTGGGGGAGGCATCCCTTTTGAACTTCTCTCAGAAAACAACTGGCTGAGTTGGTCAATTAAAATGCAGCAGTTGTTAAGGAGAGATGGACTATGGGACTGTGTTGAAACTGAGGTTTTGAGACGGGACTCTGCTGAGAAAAAACGGCTGGATGAAAGGGCTCGTGCCCAAATTATGCTGTGTTTGAGCAACTCTCAGTTATTGCATGTAGCAAATGCCAGCACAGCGTTTGAGTGCTGGAATTTATTAAGGGCAATGCATGTCAGAGAAACTGCTGGAACTATAATTTCTCTGACCAGAAGGCTGTTCAGGACTGTTATGAAAGAAGGTGAGAGTTTGGCAACTCATCTTCAAACGCTGAAATCTCTGTTTCTTCAACTACAACAGAGAGGTAAGCGTTATGATGAGACTGACCAAACCTACATTATCCTTTCAAGTTTGCCTGAAAGCTGGTTGCCTGTGATTAACAGCATGGAGAGTATGCGTCCCCGAGATCTGACCCTTGAGTATGTGGTTGGAAGATTGACCGAAGAAGCAGAAAGAAGGTCAGATAGACAGGCTGAACTCCAAGAGCGGAGGAGTTATAGCAAAGGGGGCCAGCAGCAGAATCTGCCAATGGAGCAACGCCAAGGTTTGGACTTGGCCATGGCGGTGAGGAGGTGCTATAGATGCAACCAACCCAGGCATCTCCAACGTCAATGCAGGGCAAAACTTCCAGGAGACGACGTGGAGCAGAGACAGCAATCGACCCAGAACCGTAAGCAGAAGGGGTTCTCTTCAGGGAAGAAGAACACGCGTTCTGCTCAGTTTGTGTCTGCATTTTCTCGAGAGGAGACGAAGATACCTCGAGGAACATGGTTGCTGGACTCTGGCAGCAGCTGGATTATCTGCAATAGTCGGGAGGACTTTAAGACCCTGGAGAAGCCAGCTGATGGAAAAGACTCAATCTATCTTGCTGATGGTCGTAGAAGCAAGATTGATGGCCAGGGAACATGTTTCCTGCAGTGCTTGAACACTACTCTACCAGAGACTCTGTTTGTCAGCAGTTTGGACTATTGTTTACTGTCTGTAAGCTGTTTGATTAATGCAGGGTATAGTGTTAAGTTCACGCAGGATGGCTGTCTGATAAAGAATGGAACTCAGGTATGTGGCCATGCAAAGTTGGAAAATGGGTTATATGTAATGCAGGACAAGCCTGTTAAAGCAGCCCAGGTGGTTCAGGATAATTTGCCAGTTCATAAGGGGTGTGTACATGAACTGCACAGAAAACTGGGTCACGCCAATTTCCGTGTGCTTTCAGAGATGCAAAAGGTGTGCAAGAACCTAAAAGTAAATAGCTGTAACTGTTTCCTAGATTGCAATGTATGTAAAATGGCCAAATCTAAGAGGAAGCCTGTGGCTTCTAAAAGTGACAGAGTATCTAAAGAGGTTTTAGAACTTGTCCATTGTGACGTGATAGGCCCTTTTCCACAGAAGACTGAAGGGGGGCGCCAGATATGCTTTTCTGGTAATAGATGATAAATCACGTTTTAGTTGGCTGTTTTTGTTAAAGCAGAAATCTGAGTGTTTCCCCACATTCAGAGAATGGGTTGCCCAAGCTGAAAAGCTCTTCGCTCGCCCTGTTGTGCAGTTGCAAACAGATAGGGGCGGAGAATTTCTGAACAAACAATTTGGGGCATGGTTGCGACGTAAGGGGATCACTCATCGTTTGACTAACCCTTATAGCCCTGCTGAAAATGGTCTGTGTGAAAGACGTGGGGCTGTAATACAGTCAGTAAAGGACTGCCTGCTAGTGGATGCAGGATTGGACCACAACCATAGGCTGTGGGGCGAGGCTTTTCTGACAGCAAACTTTTTGATTAATAGAACCTGGTCTAGCTCTATAAAAGATATTCCATATCGTGAGTTGTTTGGGAAAGAACCAGAGTGGACAATGCTCCATAATTGGGGTTCTTGGGCACATGTAAACATTCCCAAAGCTCAGCGCCAGAAAGGGGGCGCTAGAGTGCAGAAACTGCGGTTTGTGGGATATCAGTCCTATGGCAAAGGGTGGCGTTTCAATTTACGCCCAGGACGCGTGGTTCTGTCACGAAGTGCAGACTTTGCTGACCAGGACAGATGGACTGCGATCCATGCCAACCCAGATTGCCTACTGCCCCTGCAAGTAAGAGAAGAGGCTTCTTCTCAGCCATTGGCAACACAGGAGCAGGATGAGGAGGAGGCACAGATTTCCCAAAAAGATGTGGCAGTAGATAATAATACTTCTCTAGAGGAAGAGGAAGAAGAACCAGAGATAAGGGGGGAAGAAGTAGTTGTGCCTAGGCGCTCCCAACGTTCAAACAAGGGTGTACCTCCTCAGCGTTTGACCCTAGGAGGAGTGAGAGTATGCAATGTGAGTTGTGTGGAACCACAAAGTTATAATGAAGTCTTAGACTTACCCCCCTGGGGAACGTGCTTTGTGGGAACAAGCTATGAAAGAAGAAATGGACTCTTTTAAGCGTAACAAAGTGTTTGAGGTCATAATGCCGCCACCTGGTGGCAGAGTGGTGTCATGCAAGTGGGTTTACAAAGGAAAACCCTTGCATCTGGGGAACCACGTTTTCGAGCCAGATTAGTAGCCAGAGGGTTCACTCAGATTAAAGGGG